CCACCTGGAGTACTGCATCCACCTCTGGAACCCTCAGGACAGGACAGACATGGACCTGTTGGAGAGGGTCCAGAGGAGGGCCACAAAAATGATCAGGGGGATGGAGTGCCTCTCCTATGAAGAAAGGCTGAGAGAGTTGGGGCCTTTCAGTACTTGTAAGAAAGATGGGGACAAACTTTTTAGCAGGGCCTGCTGTGACAGGACAAGGGGGAATGGTTTTAAACTAAAAGAGGGTAGATTTAGACTAGATATAAGGAAGAAATTTTTTACAATGAGGGTGGTGAAACCCTGGAACAGGTTGCCCAGAGAGGTGGTAGATGCCCCATCCCTGGAAACATTCAAGGTCAGGTTGGACAGGGCTCTGAGCAACCTGCTCTAGTTGAAGATGTCCCTACTCATTACAGCGGGGTTGGACTAGATGACCTTTAAAGGTACCTTCCAATCCAAACTATTCTATGATTCTATGATTCTATGATTATATATTCAACATATTTTGTAGGTTGCCTTCCCACCCTCCCTTTTTTTTTTTTTAGAGCACAGTATAAAAATCTACTGCCTTGCAAATACCTTATGTAAGTGGCAGAATTCGTGACACATATCAATTCTTAATTTTTGTGGCTGGTTTTAAACGTACAGTGAAGTTTAATAGAAACAAAGATATGGAGATGCATTTGATGATTTCAAGCTGGACACCTAAATACTACTCATATTCAGACTTATAACGAAGCCAGTTAACAACATTTCTTAATTTTGCTACATTAGCTTGTTATTTTACTTTGTTGCGTGTATAAAATGCAGTAGTAATAACACATGCCACACTGGGTATTGCTTTGGTGATACTACACACAGATCTGATGAAACAGGTATGTAGGAGGCACTATAAAATGCAATCTACAGCAGATTTTTTGAATAATCTGGAGAGACATGTAAACCTACAGATTCTCTGTCTTTTACCCTTTAAACTTTTTGACTTGGTGAAAAAAAAACACTTTTTCAGAAAAGCTAGCTACTATATATAATACATCTTGCTCTGAATTAAAAAGACCAAATCTAACTAAGATTAGAGCACTCAAATGCATGCGTCTAAACCAGCCAATTTCTGTTTCATGCCTTCCCTCAGTATTCAGTAACTGCAGTGCATCAATTCAGATAACTAGAATTGGCAGCAGTGGCTTAAACTGATTAAATCATCTGTGAGAAACCAATATGATAAAGGAGTCAATCTCCAAAAGATGATCAGCCTATACTTTGTCACATTCCCAAAGTGAGCACATCCAACCATAGAACACTAAAGCTACAGAGAGAAAACTGAATAACTTAAAAGATTTAGCACCTGGTTTCGTTCTGAACATAACTACAACATTTATCGCTGCTTAACTTGATACTTACTATATATTGTTTAAATTAAAATAGTGTTCAACTGTACAATTAGATTCTCGATGGTAAGTAATGGTACACTAAAAGTTCCTGCAGACTGCTTCACAGCTGGGATGATTATACCACAATTAAAATGTTCCGACACATTAATTTAACTGGGGTTTTGTGTTTGATTTGATGGGGAAAGCAACAACAACAACAACAACAACAACAAAATCTAGAGATCATCTTTGTTAATCAAATCTTTTTAAGTACTGCTGTATGCTACAACAAATATAATACCTATGCCCAGTTACATCAAATCTGTAATCTGAACTCCTCAGTAGACCAAAATCTTTTTATTAACAAAAATAGAATACATATATGTTTCTATACGTGCATACATGTTTTTACATTTACATCCAGTATCTATTGTATGTTTCTATATACTCTTCACAGCAATAGTTCTTCATAAACAACACCAACTTGGGACCCAAATAACTAGCTTGTATAATTTTTTTATGATTGATTTTTTTAAAAAAATCTAATTAACAAAATAGACTGCATTTTGTATCAAAGCTAGAAGCCACGTATTTTTTTTCTGCCACACTCCATGAAAAGTCAGAAAGAGATAAGAAAATAGCTATGTGGAGCACTTAATACAGACATGAGCCTGAAGAAGTGGAGAGAAGGAAGGAGCAAAGCAGATTTAATGGAATTTCCTATAAGCAATACTTATTTTTCATGACAAATAAGTTTGGGACTTCTGAAAGAGTTATGTCAGTAAGTACATGTGAAGAGAACCAAGAATAACTGCTTTTATTGGCTACTCCACCAGGCAACTAAACTTCTTGCCCCAAGAACAAACAGAAGATGAAAACCCCACTATGTGCTTTCTGTGCTGGCAGTTAGACAGGCTGAAAATTTCAGCACTAAACAGCTTTAAAACCAGAATTTTGGTTCAGAAATACACAAGCTGTTGATTTCCACCTGCTTCTGGTGGAAAAGTCTAAAACCTTACTAATTTTGGAAGGATGGAAAAAAATCCATCAATGTGCAGTCCCATTAGCACATTGAAACCAATGTGCTGAATAATACTACGTAATTAACAGAAAAATAAGTTGGAAGGTACATACTGGTCCATACTGCCAGCCAAGTTCAATCTTATTCATAACCCATAGTTCATGGATGTTCTCTGCTAATTTTTCTCTAATCCTTTCCAGGTGGGGAGGCAAAACAATCTAAAGAGAGAAGAGAGAAAGAGGCTGTTACAAATAAGTTGCTTGACAGTGCCACCCAAACTTTCGTAACAGACAAACTTTGTATAAACCAGATCTCCCAACTAAATCTAAATTATCGTTCAGTCCTTACTGACTAAAGTGAGTGAGAATTCTTAGATCAACAGAAATACTTTAACCTATGCACTTAGAAGTTCCAGAGTTTGACCAGCAAGCGAAAACAGTTTTAAACCCAACACCTCCAAATGGCACAGAATACATTCCAGGCAGCTGGCTAGAAACTACTCACACCAGTACTATTTCTGAGTTTAAAAAATGCTAAAAATCTCAACAACCAAGGTAATGCTGTGAAAAACACTTCAGACAAATATTAACATTTGAGAACTGAAACCCGTAAAAAAAAAAAAAAAAAGGTGATGATGACAGGTGACAAGTGAAATCAGGACAGCACATTACTCTACCTCCAAAATTTGAACTCAGATCTGCTTTACCTCAAAAACCAGAGACCTCAAATATACAGTTGTCATGGTTTAACCCCAGCCAGCAACTAAGCCCCACACAGCCGCTCACTCACTCCCCCCCGCAGCAGGATGGGGGAGAGAATCGGAAGAATAAAAGTGAGAAAACTCATGGATTGAGATAAAGACAATTTAATAGGTAAAGCAAAAGCCACGCACACAAGCAAAGCAAAACAAGGAATTAATTCACTCCTTCCCATCGGCAGGCAGGTGTTCAGCCACCTCCAGAAAAGCAGGGCTCCATCACACGTAATGGTTACTTGGGAAGACAAACACCATCACTCCAAACATCCGTCCTTTCCTTTTTCCTCACCCAGCTTTATATGCTAAGCATGACGTCATATGGTATGGAACATCCCTTTGGTCAGTTGGGGTCAGCTGTCCTGGCTGTGTCCCCTCCCAACTTCTTGTGCACCCCCAGCCTGCTCGCTGGTGGGGTGGGGTGAGAAGCAGAAAAGGCCTCGGCTCTGTGTAAGCACTGCTCAGCAGCAACTAAAACATCCCTGTGTTATCAGCACTGTTTCCAGCACAAATCCAAGCAATAGCCCCATACTAGCTACTATGAAGAAAATTAACTCTATCCCAGCCAAAACCAGCACAACAGTGCTGTGAATCATGATAATGTTACCCCGTTGGCGTTACAGAACAATAATAATATGACACATGTAGAAAGCTGTATTTAGTGCATACTGGCAACAAACTAGCAGGTTTGTTCTTTTTTTATATGTTTTTTTCAGGAACGAGTTCCTAAATATGATAAAATCTGAGCACACAGTGTACAAAAATTTGTATCATCTCAAACTCTGGTTGAGTGTAAAATAAACTCCTGTTACCTGTGATCAAAGATGGAGCTCTTTGGTATCAAAGAATTACTGCTTTTTGCCACTATGTAAAAAAAAAAAAGAAAACTACAACTTCAGTGCCTGCCATTTACTGCCCACAGTGAGTCAAATGCCATTCTCAGTAACCTGCAAGTCCACTAAATAGTTATGGTTGAAGCTGGTCTAAAAGTCTTATCATAATGCAAAGTCTTCACTGATTTTAATTAAACAGTAATAAAAATGTCTAGTAACAGAACAAGAAGTTCAAATATTCTTTTTTGCCTACTCTAATATTAAGGGTAAAACATTCTTTATTATAGTGTTGGTGAACTGAATTATATGAAATTTCTAGTAAGCACTATCAGGACTTTAAGCACCATTTTTCAACTTCTTGTAATGGAACATACCAAACAAATCCCAAGAAAAAACAAGTTTGAGACAAGCTGCAAATTCAATCAAATGTGAAATAATATAGGCCTATAATATGTGTGTTTAAAAATGAAAATGCAATCTTTCAGTTTCCATACCTGGCTAGTATCTACAGGAACTGGAGTGAAAGCTGCTTGTGACAGAGAGATAGTGGGACCCAGTAAGTCTCTTGTATAGCTACAATCCTGCTTGTACTCTCGGCTATGCTCCACTTTCAGCTTCTCTTTCGGTAGCACAGCTTCAAAGCAAGGGGCATATCCAGGTGGAGGAAGGAACTTGAACTCTCCATGGCGACCTCCAAGCAAGAAACGTACCCTGTAAACATTAGAGTTACTTTAGATAATTGAGAAACCTCTAGTGTCAAACCTAATCGGTTTACAAGCCTAACAACTATTGAACGCTATTTTTAAAAAAAAGGAAAAAAAATTAAAAATTCAATGTTGCAGCTTATTTGCATTGTTTACGGTTCAACTTTATGTAATTAGTGGTGGAGTTTATGAAGTAGGAGGTGCAAAAAACATGGGGAAAAGTAAACAATTCTTTCTTTTAGTTAATTTCCACTTCCATAAAAGTATTCTAAATCATGAGTCCAAAAGAGAAGACACAGAGAGAGAGAGAGAATAATCAGTTTACCTATCACACCTATGAAGTAAGCAGCAGCCTTTCAAGTCTCAGAAGGCAGAGATTATAACCCAGAGTAATTAACCACCTCTGAACTCTCTCCATTGAGGAATTCTCCATTCTCTCTCATTCGAGAAATGAGCCTGAAAACTCCATGGAATACGGTTCTTTCTTTTCTCTCACAGAACACTAAATCCTTAGGACACAATACAAAAAACTCCCATATTTTCTTCCCTAAAACTTGCCATGTTAGTAGAAACCTAGGGGAAAGCATTCTTTTATTCATTACAAAATGGTGTATTTGTCATTTGTTTTTTTACTGAAAAATTCAATGAATGACGTGATCATGAAGTAGCAATGACATAATACCAAAAAATCTTCCCAGAACATTGCCATCCAGAAAGAATCAAAAAACACCCAAAAAACTAGCCTTACAACAGAATCTTGTTGTCTCTTTTCTATTTACCAAGTATTTTGTAAGATCTTTGTCAATGCTATACCAGAACACTCTCCAAAAACACACACAGCACACAAATACTATCTGTCAAATATTTCTCTCATGACGGAGATAAGGCATGCAGGTTTATAGTTTTGCATTTTATAGCATGCATGTCTATAGTTTTACCACATTGTACCGCCCGTATTATCCAAGGCAAAGTCTAAAGAAGTGCATTTTGTGTCTGGAATGAGAGGCTGGTACGCCCACTGTGTGACAGCTCTTAGCTTCTGTAGTATTCACCACAGCGTTTGAACGATCCCTCACAGACCACTGCTCTGTCTGCAACAGAAATCAGCTTTCAGCCTTTACCTTTGCCAGTCCTGCTAAATAAAGTTGGTCCCCCCGCTGGAACACCACACAATCTTTTTTAATATTATAGTCTCAAACTATTCAATACATGGAAACAGCAGTCTGACACCTCAAGCGTGACTTGGAATTTTATAGAAAACCAGTACAGCAACCAGAATACAGATTGACTGAATTCATATTATTGCTGAAAAGAAAGTGCATCACCACTGTTTCTTACGGTAAGTGTAGATAATGCATCTTCAAATAATAGTTACTACCTCATAACAAGTGAGCTAGGGCAAATATATTTTTAATATAAAAGACTGATTTTTTTCTTCCCATATAGGTAAAATGCTGTCCTGGAGTGAATGTGTAGCAATGTGTCAGCTAAGAAATGATAAAGAAGCTGTTTCTAAGGTCTATCTGCAAACCACCTGAATACACCGGTGTGCTGAAAAACAACAGATGCACTATCTCTTCAGGACTCCTTTGTAGCTCTCACTATCCAAGAATTGGAACTGTGCCAAAGAAGCAGATGTCAGAAAGAAAAATGAGAGCAAAGACAGCCAGGTAAGTATTCAGCATTCAGAAAAAAAAAACAGACTGGGGATACATGGGATGCTAACTTTATTCCTGCAGAGAAGCTGACAACTGGGAAGAAGAGGCCATCTATGTTGAAATTTTCAAACATTCCTTGAACTGGCTGACCATTTATCCGGAAAGAGATGCTGGGGGCACTCAGGTCCAAACAGCAGCTAATAACATCGTCAGTTCTTAATAGATGTTGGTTGGGAGAATTTACTGTTCGTGCCACACAACCTATGGAAGTAAAGGAGACATGTTTAGCAAAACTACTGAAAATCGTACAGGTTTTCACAGCAGCCCAAAAAAAGAGAAAGAAAACATAGAAATAGAGAACAAACACGTTAATGCACAAGTATCTAACCTATAACATCCAAGACCTGATTTTAAGCTTGCAATATAGTGAATAGAAGCATACAATCGTATCTACAAAGCTATTTTAATAATAAATAATATAATTAAACTACATTTAGTGTAAGTGAAAATCATTACTGATACCCATACAAACAGTCAAAGCCAAGAAAACTAAATTTTATTCCTCACAGTAGTAGAAGTGCAAATTGAAAAACAACCATTAATATCTAATATGAAACCTAGTACACTTTACTAAAGAATGCTTCATTATTCAAGATAAGGACAAGTATCATACTTTAAATTATTTAGGAAAAGTAAGGTACTTCCTGTGATTAAGGGCCACACCATGGTACCCTTGCAAAATTGTATAAGACGATACTACTCAGTTTCATAATGAAATCACAAACCAGCACTTTTCTGGCATATACAAAGACAGCAGCAATTTTGAGGCATATATATTCAGTAATGTATGTATTTTTCTTTAATAAATTTTGTATGAATTCTAAAGGATTATTCCCTCTTGCATCAAACTACATTTACACAAGCATACTTGCTTCCCAAGAGAAATAACCTATAGAATACAGAAATAGGAAATGACTGTTTCTGAAATTTACTGCCATCTAAAACAGAAAATTTATGGAAAAGCATGACAGTTGTATGAAAATATCTCCAGACATGTTTTCCAAAAATTAGATATGCAATGTCTGCAAGAGATAAACCATAATGCATACTAAGAACAGAGCACTAACTTTGTAACTATGCTGTCCAACTTCTGTAAACATGGGACTTAACTAAAAGCACTATATTTCCAAGAAGATGATGAAGACGGCGTATGTTTTTAACAGCAGCAAAAATTGTAAAAAAACCCCCTCAATAATTCTTCTGCAGATAAATTTTCATTACCACCACCACCACCCCACCGAAGAAAAATAAGAAACAACACTCTGATACTCTACATATGGAAAACGACTTCCTGATACTGCCACATAATCTGCAGACTGTAGACAGATGCTCTTGTGCAATCTGCCCCTCTTGATAGGGTAGTCAGCAGTATAGTGGGGGGAAAAAAAATAGTTTTCAGATGCTCTTGCTGCTCCCCTACACCCTTTCAAGACAGGATGTCCTTAGCTCGGTTGCTGTAAGAATAGTCAGTTCCATATCCAAAGACAGGGGAGTGACATGGAGCAATCCTAAGGGTCCCTGACAAATCGACAAATCTATAGGAAACACTGCTGAGAAACAGAGTAGCAGTCAAAGCGTAAGGAATGGCCTGCAAGGAAACTACCTTCTACCAGCTCTACATCCCAAAACTCACAGAGCACAGTAGAGAATAGCAGAGAAAAACATCACAACAGCTGAAAGCTAGTTTCAAATAAATCACAGAAAGGGACAATTATTTAATAGCAGGGATAACTAAACTCTAAAAGAGCTATCGATGAAGAGTGGATACTTCATCTCCTTAAGGCATACTACGTGAGACTAGATGCCTTTTTAGACGTTAAAATTTAGCCAAAAATAGGTTATTGGGATTAATGCAGGGCTGACTGTTAACAGAAATATGTACTGGTCTTCAATGAACCCACAGTCAGACAAATGATCTAAGTGCCTTTTCTTGCCTCAGTCTTTCAAAATCTGTGAGTTCTACTTCTCCATATTAGAGAAGTAATTGCAGGACTGAAGAAACAAATGTAAATTAAATGTGATTCTGGTAAAGGCTTGGTCCAGAACAGAAACTCAGGGGTAGAAATTATTATTGCTATTCATTAATGCAGTAAATGCTTCATGCTCAGAAGATTACTTTAAAAATGTCATTGCAGAGACTTACCAAGATGCAGCCTGGGATTGTTGAAGAAGAAGAAAGGCCATGATTTTAAACATTCAACTACTTAAAGTCCTTCCAAGTTTCAGAGGTATGTGTTACGTGAGAATGTCAATGAAGACAGAAATCTTTTCAAATCTACCAGCCACATCCACAACAGAGATTAATATACAAAAATTGCATATAAAAAGGTGGTCTGACTTTTTTAACGGGGCTGTATTATTGACTTGAGAACCAAAAACAATTGTTCATTTATTCTTTTGTGACATTTCTGATTAAAAAGTTTCCAGTGGGTAGAAAAATCATTTTGATTTTCAGTAATCTTTTGTTTCCTCCCTAAAAGGGACCCTAACTACAAAAGTTATTTCGGTTGGCTCATTATTTTCTGGTTCTTCTGTAATAATACTTATCTGACAAACTCAATTATGACACAGCTTTAATGACACCATTAATTATGCATCATTGTTCCAAAGTAATTCTCATTATACATGAGAGGCAAAGTGGCAGCTACTTTCCTAAGATGCCACTCCAGTCGATATATTACTTAATAATTACTTAATTACTTAATAATACAATCCATTGCTATTTTGATTGGAAAAGTCTTTTGAAATGTAAAACTGTATTCTTTTCTAAGTACCAAGCCACAATGCCTCAAAACTTCAAAAGACCTTGAATGATACATACAGCTGACTCACTAAAATGTCTCTCTTGTCTGCTAAGGAGCTTTAGAAAACTTGCTCATATCTTCATAGTGCCAAGTATTGCCAATCCAATGAGCCTAATCCCATTTCCAGTCAGTTCTACAGGTCATCACTGCCCAATAATCTCTCAAAATCAAAGGAAAAAAATTTTTCCTCAACAAGGTGAAACCACAGTAGAAACATTGTCAAGAAATTTAGGACTGTCGATGTGTAGGACTACCCATTCCAAATGATATCTGGGAACCTTTTCACAAAAGTTAAATTATTGGAAAAATATTAAGAAAAAGAGAAGAAGCTTTCTTTGTTATTATTCTGATTTTGCTGAGCTAACCCAGTTTGAAGAGAGAATAAGATATTTGCAGAATCAACAGTAAATACAAGTACTTTAGATACTCAGTTCAGCTTCCTTTAACACTAGAATTTGCATACAGAAATTACTATTAATGAATAGATCCAAGCTGGGCCAATGACATTTTAAAAGATGAATACCTGACCAAACACACCATACGCAAGCTAAGAATATGATTCTCCAAGTCTTGCAATAAACAGTCAGTCTCAATGTATGTAGATAAAACATCACTACAGAAAAATACCTGGTTTTAAAATGTATGGCAAAAAAGCATACTTAAAAATCTTCTTCACCCCTAAAGTATTTCTGAACTTCTAAACTAAAGACCCATATTAAAAATCTGTTTTAAAAAAAAGGAAAAAAAAGAACAGAGAGAGTCCTGTGAATTAAATCTCTCAGGCTGTTTTTACACTATCACACAGGAATTACAAATCCAGACGACTGTTTGTCAGACTTCATGTTTTGCACCTTTGAAGTTTTAAATAAAATCTTTATAGTTACTGTGGGGAAAAAAAAAAATTCCCAGGCTGAAACATAAATTATTATTCTATCTGCATTACTTTGTACAAAATGATTTTTTCAACGTGTAATGTCAACTTAAAACATATTCTGATATATGGTACTGTTTCTGTATATTCCTAGTATCAACTGAATCATCTGATTCACTTTGCTGCTGTTGAAAACAAATTCACTGGAATTGCAAACAATGTTCTGGTATTTAAAAAAAACAAACAACAACCACCACAAAAAAAACAACCAAACAAAAAAAGGAGAATACCTGACCACAGATGGAGACCATCGAAGCCATAGGAATACAAGTCATCACCAACACCATTTCCCCCCCATTCTGCTCCTCCCCCTGGATATGGTGAGTAGCCCTCTGTTGAAGCCCAGCCCACTCGTAGATGAGTTGATTCTGCGGTCACAAAGGGCTCTAGATGGTCCACCATAAGTTCATAGTACCATTTTCTGTATTGGGCAGAGCCTTCACTAATCCCCAGGAAGATATTGGGTTGCATGCTTAAACAGAAAGAATAAAAGTGGTTATTAAAAACTTATCTCAAGAACATGATGAACTACTGCAGCCTCTTCACTAAATTCAAATTTAATTATTGGTTTGTGCGATTAAAACAATAAAAGTAAATTTATTTATTTATTTATTTATTCTGGTGAAAAATGCTCTATAATGTTAAAGTAAAAAAGCGTTTGTTTCAGTAACTGAAACAGTATCCTCACTCAGATACCAATAATAATATTTTATGTGTTTGAACTTTTTGAAATCTTACAAAAATGACAGGTATTCACCAGTTACCAATAGAAATGTAGTAAGTACACTCTGCGGGTTTAATTTTACATAGCAAGCTGCATCCATTCAAGAGAATAACATTTACAAAGATACAAAAGTAAAGTGTTGATCTATTTCAAAATTCTCTTGTACGTCTTCCTTCCTTATTCCAAGTTTTGTGTAACTCAGTAATTTGCAGTGGTTGTACCAATCCTTAATATCAATTTTATGTTCCTACTGCTGATGATTTCAAAGTACTTCACCAGCATACTTGAAAGGCAAAACTATTACTGTGCTTATTCAATATCTAGTTAAATAGCAATATGTAAAGTCCTACTTCTAAAGGTCATGAGGGAAAAAAAGGAAAGAAAATCATAGAATCATAGAATCATTAAGGTTGGAAAAGACCTCTAAGATCATCAAGTCCAACCGTCAACCCAACACCACCATGCCCACTAAACCATGTCCCTAAGCGCCTCATCTTTTAAATACTTCCAGGGATGGTGACTCCACCACTTCCCTGGGCAGCCTGTTCCAAGGCCTGACCACTCTTTCAGTAAAGAAGTTTTTCCTAATGTCCAGTCTAAACCTCCCTTGGTGCAACTTGAGGCCATTTCCTCTCGTCCTATCCCTGGTTACTTGGGAGAAGAGACCGACCCCCACCTCGCTACAACCTCCTTTCAGGTAGTTGTAGAGCGCGACGAGGTCTCCCCTCAGCCTCCTCTTCTCCAGGCTAAACAGCCCCAGTTCCCTCAGCCGCTCCTCATAAGACTTGTTCTCTAGACACTTCACCAGCTTCGTTGCCCTTCTCTGGACACGCTCCAGCACCTCAATGTCCTTCTTGTAGTGAGAGGCCCAACACTGAACACAGTATTCAAGGTGCGGCCTCATCAGGGCCGAGTACAGGGGCACGATCACCTCCCTCCTCCTGCTGGCCACGCTATTTCTGATACAGGCCAGGATGCCATTGGCCTTCTTGGCCACCTGGGCACACTGCCGGCTCATGTTCAGCCGGCTGTCAACTGTCATCTTAGAAAGTTCCTTTGCCAATTATTTTTGGTGTGATGTATGCAAGTCTCAGTCTATCACTAAATGTTTTCAATGTTTCATTGGTCTTTCTGACTTTTGAAAAAATAACCTTTTTTTCTTTACAACTGCAAGAATATGAATATTCTCATTCACAGCTTTCTAATGCAGAGAAAAAATATGTATTAACTACATTTGCTTTGTCTACAGCCATATTTGGGAAAGGCAGCTCTACCTTCCCTGTATGAGATCCAAAGTCAGCTCAGAAGCTCAATCAGCACTGATACATCATGCATTAACAACATAAGTTTTCATTAGTGATTTTAGCTTATCTGTTGTTCAAATTTATTGCTGACATGGAATGATTCCCATTACACCATCTTTCCATGTGTTATATATATGTTGGTGTGTTATTGGATGTGTTGGGGCAAGTCAAGTCACATATGGTTATGAAAAATATGAGTGAATGTATTAGCTATAAAATTGTCAAGTTCATTTCACCTTTAGACTTGAATTTATTTTTACTTGAAAAGGCCTCCTTATAATATACAGCTGTGGAATTTTTATGTTTTTCAGCATCTAATAAATCCTATGAACTCTGAATTATAAGTACTATTTCTATGTTTCAACTTTCATTCTCACTTTGTGATTGAGACTTTTTAAAATAGACATAAGTTTGATACAGAGGAAGATCCTACAAATCTTCACTTAAAGCCAGATTCTTCTGCCTCAGGATAAATTCAAACTCTGGATAAACATTTACTTTGCAAAGATTACTTTGCTAGTTTAAGATGCTACTAGCTTCATCTTGTTATTAATGTCTGCTGGAAGGTAGCTTCTACAACTCTGCCAGTGGAAGGAATGGTGAGGGCACTCCCTAAATATCCCAGGCAAAATCAACAATATTTAGTTTAAGAAACTGGTGAAGGTGTTTGGCACTAAGTTCTTGATTTTGGCCAAAGGTGATTAGGAAATCCTCACAAGATCTCAAACATACAGGCAATCACAGGACACTGGCTGACAATATTTTGAAAGCACAGCAAGATCTGGACAAGAATCTTTAGAAGAGACCCTACAGTTTCACAGACTTAGAGCAGTTTAGAGCAGCTTTAGCTTGCAGCAGCTCTCTCTGACCCATGTTTTGATTCTAATCAACATTGCAAAGAGTATTTAAAATCCTAGTAAGAATAAAATATCTTAACAAAAGTTTTGGAAGTAAACCATGTTTTCTGTAGTGACTATTTCTTTTAAGCACAATTTTTGTTCTGCTTTGTTCGTAGATACAGATTTTTTCTTTTTACCTGCTCACATGGTTGACAAGGCGTGTCTGTAAGAGCAGATCTCTTCCTGGCAGGAGATTATCACAGATTAGATGTTGATTAGACCGCACAGCTACTCCATGACAAACACAGAGAGAACACAAAACATCCAAAACCTGAAAAAAAAAAAGATTCTTTTCATCCTAAATATTTTTTCATGCTAAAGAGTTCATAATCACTGTGAGTTACTTCAGGCAATATAATGCTATATACCTTGTTATTGGAAGACATGTAAGCTTAGGTAATTCATCCAACATAGTAGTTTTATTTTACAACAATTCTGAAATTATCCTAACAGTATTAACATATATTCTTCCTGCTTCCCTTGAGATTTAGTGTGTATCAATGTTTTCATCAAAAAGAAGATAACGTTCCCCTTTGCTTCTTCAAACTGCTCATATGCTGTTTAGGAAAAGTTTCATTCCTAATTATGAATACAGTATTAATGTATTTGAAATCTAACTTCTACACAGAACAACGTGCTTGCTTTGTACACAAACGTTCATCTAAATACACTTGTCTCTTCTTTGCCTACCTTATGGTTTCTTCCATGTTTGTCCAAAAGACAGATGATTGATTTAATATGTCCTTCCTTAATAATGTTTAAAGCTTCTGGGCTTTCCACCAACACACAGTGTAAAACCTCTAGAATTCCTGGGAAAAAAAAGAAAAATTATTCATTCAAAGTGCATATAAAATCATAACTGCATATAATACTTCCTAATATATTGCTCAGCAACATGGAATAGTTTCAAAAATCATTGTATATGATAAACAAAAACCAAAACAGGATTGATGATGTAATTCTAGATTTTCCAAAATAAGTGAATGTAGTAAAAATCAGAAAGGACAGGAAAAAACCTGTACATTAATTTGAAATTTTAATAACAAATACGTGATGATCAACACTCACAAATTCGAACAAACTGGGTAAAATATTGGTTTTCAGTGACTCCAAAAAAGACTGAAAGTAAACCACTTCACACTACATCCATATTATATACATAAAACATGCTCTCCATATTTAAAGTTTTCTGTTTCTTCCCTTAGAAAACCATATGAAATACTAAAGGAATCATATACCTCTGAATTAGAAAGCAGAGGTAAATTCCCAGTCTACCGGCCCACTGCATATAATTTTCTTTGTGTATGTAACAGCTATGCTGGGAGCCACAGTGATGTTCTTAAAAGAGCAAACAAATAGAAACTAGCATGAAACTAAGATGTGCAATAAAGTAAAGAACCACTAAATCTCCAGTGGCCCCTCAATTAAATACAATTCTAATCCCAATAAAGCAGCAGTCATTGCCATCAAGAATCATTAGCCTTAAAATGGTTCCCTGCAATAGGGCAGTAAAGCAGGCTCCCATGTGTACTGGATCAAGTCACCACTTGCTCTGGGACCTTCCACATTTGGCAAAGACGAATATTATGCATGTGGTTCATCATTGTCAGTTGCTACAGTTGTTGCCACAGTAAGAAAAGTCAGAGCACTGAGGGAAAGCCGAGAAGCAGTCTTAAACCTAGAGATATGCAATTCCTATTTGCCTTGTACATCTCTCATCATTCTGTCTTCATCCCTGTATTCAAGCCATGGCTCCAAACACTCAGCTTAACCCTTGCAAAGCAAGATCCAGAGCATGATTCTGTTCTTTGCCACGGTCTTTTTTACTGAAAGAAAAATGTAGCAATATAAACTCCCCTTGGTGTGGGGAAAAAAAATTCATCAGACAAAAATGCTGTCTCAGTAAGAGTACTCTGGTCTTTCTTTGATCCTGGTGAGGAAGAGATCGTCAGCCACTGCAGTTGAGTAAGACTAGGGTCACCTAAGAAAAAGAGTTCCAAACAGTTACTAACTGAACATGGATTTCATTGGAACAGGCTGCCCAGGTGGAGTCACCATCCCTGGAGGTATTTAAAAGACGTGTAGATGTGGCACTTAGGGACATGGTTTAGTGGTGGACTTGGCAGTGTTAGGTTAACGGTTGGACTCAATGATCTTAAAGGTCTTTTCAAACCTAAACGATTCTCTGTTTCTATGATACAGAAATACTAGATTTGAAACAGTCTTTATGCTGATCAGCTGCCTCCCTCTCACCTTAACATTCCAGATTGGATCTAAAGCTTACAGAGGGGAGCAAGTGCTTTTCTGTTAGATTTCCACTGGTTTTGAATAAACCACTGAAAAAAATGTGTATCATAAATAAATGATAGGTAATATTTAAGAATTTGAAGATTGTGGTTCATCCACATAACTGTCCTCAGTATGCATCCAAAGTTTTCTGAATTTGTAAACAGAGAAACAAGCTTTTCAATTTGTAAACAATAAAAAAAAAATAGAAATGCAAATTTAAGGAAAAACAGTATGTATTTGATTTGTCAGGGGAATTTTTACACAGACAGACATCCCCTTTCGTTTTTTTAAATAATTCCTGAGTAACAATACAATATAGTCTGGAACATCATAACTAACTGATCATAAAGCCTTTCACAAACCAAAAATAAAAATTAAAAGTTAATTGAGCAAGCATTTTAGAGACAACCAAGCAAAAATGAAAAGAAAAGCTGAAAACCAGAAACTCGGAACAGAATTTAAAGTAATGAGTATAAAAAAAATGTCGGAACCAATATATCTCTTTCTGCTAAGTATGAAATGCATGCTTATGCAGTGAATAATGAAATGCAATGAAATAACTAATAACTATGAAACAATTACAGACTGGTATTAAAACCATTATTTATGAGGAATATAAATGGCCAGGAATTCCAAGTCCAATCTATTGTCTTTTCAGCAGAAAATCCATCTGGAGAATTTCCCAAGTATCTTACTGAGGAAAGGAGTATTAAACATCATTAACAACTTATCATAGAAACAAGCTACCTATGCAAAGATATGCATTCATAGACTTAGGACATGTTCCATTGTTATGCACCAGCAAAGACTAAAATACCTTCAGTTCATGAATTTTTTTTTTTTTTTAGTTGTTAATTTCAGACCAACTTGTATTATGCATACTTTCATCTGGATCAAGGTATAGCTCTATTAAAAACAAAAGTAAAAAGACCAACACAACCAAAGAAACTGTAGACCTCCTCATAAAGAAAAACCAACAAAGAAATTATCTTATAAAGGACAGAAATTGGGCTGTGCAAACTTCTTACAGAGGCATAAAAATATATGAAGAATGTTATGAACAGTCATATGTCAACAAAGATTTTTAAATCTTTTCTTTAAACTTAGATTTTACATTCCCATCCTTGTTAAGACCAAGTTACTCTGCCAGAAGAGACAATGGTTACTTTTAAATTACTTGTTATTTGAAAGGTAGTTTTATTCTTTATTTCCCAAGAAAATCTAAATTAAAATGAGGATTGGAATTCCCAGTGACTTCAGTCATGGCTGCAGTCATCTGACTTCATTCAGATCTCTCGTTTTAATCTCGGACAACTTACAGCACCATCACCTTTTATCCCAATACTATTTAATGTTTTTTCCAGGGATCTGGAGGAAGATATACTGTCATCACTAATGAAGTGTACAGTTTACTCAAGGACTGAAATGTAGTAAAAGGTGGAAGGCAACAGATACAGTGACAATTTGGTTTATCTGGTAAACACGTTTCAAACAAAGCTTGTGTTTTAATATGTTTGAAAAGGAGTCATACGTATGTAAACAGAAAATGCAAGTGAGTCTGTACAGATATTGTAGACAATTTTCCTGTTCTGTGCAGTGGCTCCAAAAAAAGTCACAACCATGATATAATGAGCTAGACATGAACTCCAAAAGTGATTCTGTAGCCCCGAAGGTATAAGCAGAAACTCTGAACTACAAGTAAGAGAACATATTAAACCTGAATTTGGCAGTGGTATGATCTGGGCTGCAATAGATGTACACTTCCAATATTGACAGTAACAATATTGATAAGAAGGATAAAAACCTAAGAGTCATGAGAACAAGCTAACGGAGTAGATGCCCTGTAGCAACACAGCAGGAGCACAATCCACCCTGCCTGCCAACTAGACAGGCAAGGGTCACTTGAACATGGTAAAAGTTCCTAGCTAGGTAAGAAAAGTGTTACAAAAGGATCCTCCATCTAGAAGGGTAACCTGTAACAAGATCAACAACTTTATTGTGTGCCACAATGATCTGGGAATGAAGGGAAATCGCTACATTCAAAACTTGTTAATTTAAAATTTGCCACCTCTCATTGTAGCGCTGAAATACAGTTTTAACAATGTAAACAGTAATCCGATATGAAACGATACCACATAATGTAAGTGTGGTAACCATAACCTTGGAATTTTCAGATGTGTGTAGATAGATTCATAATCTTAATTTTGTCTTAAAATGGTATACAGAGTTCATTTTCTAGTCTTAACCTTTTCAATAACGGAAGTAAAAATACTTTGAAGATGTAAACATTCAATAATAAATGAATGTTATCAATTAGACCCAGCTGCCACAGCAACTTCTTCAATCACTGCAGCATCTGAATGCTAATTATCAAACACATTTTGTTCTAAGGGCAAATTCCCCCTATTTCAGAAAAAAATTGCATATGAATGTTCAATGTCTGTTTGGACTGATCCACTTCTAGATTGTCTACATTAAAGACAACTGGACCTGTTCCAATTTCATTGGAGTTGCTCAAGGCAGTAAAGCAGGAAGTATTGAAATTTAATACAAATATCACAAACAGTATGATATGCAGAGTTTATGATAAAGATGAGTGAAATTCTTTCTTAATGACTAACAGATGAAAGGAAGCATATATTTTCAGGACAACATGTTGACTCCTCTAATGTCATACTGTAGAATACTAGAATAAAATGCATGCCCTTTAAAAAAAAAAACCCACACAACTCAAAATCTGATATTATCTGGTTCCAAAAATCTTCACTTGAAGGATATTAGATTACTAACTTGCCCTATTCTATTTTTTATTACCTATGTTTTAATGCCTTTAAAATTTTAGGAGGACTAGTTAATCCCATCTGGAATATATTTCAGAGCAAAAGACTAATCTAATCTTAATTTATGCATTGAAGAGACAGCTGAAGCATTTGCATTGCATTATTCACTCAGCTCCTGTGATATCTCACTTCTAACATGGTCTACTCTCAGACACATTTATAGTTGTACAAATCTTCATTTTCTTTCTTTCTTTTGCTTCAGTGAAGATCAGGAACTGAATTAATTTCTAATCTAATTTATACAATCAATTCACAACTGCATTTCTGTAGTTCTGTAGCAAAAACACAAAACAAAATGCTGCAAAAATACTTCTATAAAACACTGCTGACTAGAGGGGCTTACACGTGCAAATGCCTCGAAGTCTCTATACCAGCCTCCACCTCCAGAGAAGAATAACTAACTTCTAAACCCTCTGCTTGCCCCAAGAGTTGCCAAAGGAAAAAACTTCCAAGAGGAGAAGCATCAGTGTATAACTGCTCTTTGCAACTGCAATTACCCACTGCAGATCTTGCCAATCAGCTAGTGAACGCCATGGCAGTTCACCCTTGGCACTGACACTTGACAATATTTTCCCACGCTGTTAGTCCATTCATCTCAGGAACAGATTCACGGCAAATAATCAAAATGCCTGTGAACGTTTAATGACAAAGCTGAGGGGAACACAAACACCTTATTCACCTTGTTTACTATAGGACACATCTGTTCTCATGGCTACTGCTGACCTTTTCAAGACTACTGAGGTAAGAAATTTGATAATATATGCCAAATGGTGATCTGCAGCTGAGACAACTCCAATTTTTACTTGCGATACTCAGCGATAGCAGGATATTTCTCACATATTAATGCCGCAGTAAAAGGCTGATAAGAACAACTCTGTAATGCCTGTGACATTTCTTTTCAAATGTCTAGCAGTCTAGCATAAACCAAAGAATTTTTACAATGGGGGACATCTTGTCTTCCTGGCATTCCTTCCTTAAGATGTCAATGAATCCAAGGACACATCTACCTATGGCAGAAGTATGATTCAGGAGTGGGAAGAACAGGATGGAAAAGGAAATTTTAATTCCTGAGGACAAATCTGTCATCAATGAAAAATTATTATTGAAAGGAAGATTATTATGTTCCTTCCAGTTCATGAAAAAACACACATCAAAACAACAATATGATGGGAATAAACTACAAATATGTAATCAGAAAGGTATGTTAACATTGTTCTCACTGTTGTTGTAACTATCCTGCCCATTGGTCTGACTACAAACCTTCCTGCCCTTTGAACTTAGTGTAGCACAATTACAGAAAATAAGGCTTGAAAGACTCTCAAGAGGCCATCTTCCAACAAAACAGTAACAAATATTATATATAACACAAAACAGTCACAACTGCAACTGGAAAACATTTCTTAGTCTGTAACTCTGAAATGGCTCCAGCTGGGTGAGAGCAGAGAACTGAAGAGGGGAGGGAGGGGAAATTATATGTATTAATAGTAATAACAAAGCAAAGTACACATGAACTACAGAGAGATGAAAAAACAGGTAACAAAAATTTAAAACTCAGCAATTGCTACACATTGAATATTTTTCAAATCTGTTGCTCTTCCTGCAGTGGATTCAGAATACCTTCCATGTGCTATTAATAATTAGCTCCTGAAATCCACCTTGATACCTACACTTATTGTGAAAAGATAAACATGAACCAGAAACAGAAGATCAAAGAATATCAGACAAGGGATATCGATTACAATAGGTAGAACCAGGCAATAAAAGAGACACAGGTTAAGACAAGTCTCCATCTGGTATTACAGTAAAACTATCATTACATTTAATACAGGAAGTTCTATTAAATTGGTTGGACTACAATTCTGAGCATTGAGGATTAATACAAATTATACAGGACATCACAAATATTTATACTGCAATGATCTTATATTCAAATTACAAAGAAAAAGTATAAATTAGAAGTATATTGACATTAACATTCATTAAAAAAATGAAACAAACTATTAAAATTGAGATTGCCTGTGGTAGCACAAGCATTACAAAATTGTCTTTAGCTTCTTGGTTGCTTACAATTCTTCTCTCCACAGGACTATTTTTTACTCATTATTGACTTAAAACATAGAATTTTCTCAACTTCTGTACTAGAAGGTATATTCCAAATACATTTCTTAGAAACATTTAGTGGTTTCTCCTAGTAGTGTAACTTGAGATTTGTATAATGGCAAAAAAATATATGGTTCTAGATTATGCTAGTGACCTATATAAAAAGTTGAAATGTCTCAAACCAAAATTGCTTTTACTGTGTTGTTATTTCATATGTTAACATTACTGAGCATTACATGTACAACTTCTCCAATTTGTATTATTTATATTTCTATATTTCCCTCTTCACTTTTAGTTACAGGGAGGAATAATTTGCAAGGCAAATTCCTTACCAGGTATAAGAGCTTAATTTTGACTTTGAGCTCCTGCTTCTTGTTTAACTTTTCTGTCTAGTGCATGTGAAAAATAAAGCTTTCTGGAAGAAGCTGTTAACATTTTTCTTATTTCACCTTTTTCATAATTTTTTTATTCTCCTGCCCTACGATTCACTTAATTGGCAAATCAAATATTAAGAGATCTCACCACGTCAGATCCATGTTTTCAGTTACTGCTGTAACCTGTAGAACTCCAAGAAGTATTACACTGGTAAGAATAAAATTTAGAACACTGACCTCACACTACGCATGTTTTTTTTATTCCAATAAATACTTTTACTAACCTTGAAAAAAAGGGTGGGGGGGATCAGGCTGCGATAACATTTCTTACCAATAGTATTACTTTGTTTTTTGATCTTTATGTAATCATCATCATGAAAAGCATGCTTGAAAAGAGTCAAAAATCATTCTTAAGAGTCCAAAACTAATCACTCTATTTGAATCTCATTTATTAGCTGTTGGGTCCAAGTTTGATACTGTCTACTGTTCAGATGCCTAGACGACATAATTTTGGCATATTTTCATGATGAAAAGAACAGTAATTAAATCTTCATGTAAGAAAAAACCAAAAGTTTGTATTTATATCAGTAAGATGGGGCAAGAGACTCAAGTATCACCCATGAAATCAACACTTAATTGCAGAAACATAGTCCTAGTATCTCTTCAGTAACTTTGAGATACACTTAGCAGAGGTTCTTTAATGCAATGAGATTTGTCTACCACTTGTTTACAAAATCAAACTACAGTGGCACGTTCCAAACACATACTTTTAACAAAAATAGAGTAGTATTTTTAAAAACCACAAAATAATTATTCTAATAAGCATTGAAGACTATTTTTTTTAAATAAGCACATGCCAAATGTGGTAATCCAGATAACCACCTTTAAGGTCCTGTTACAGACTACAATCATGTTAATAACTGCATTTAAGACAGTAAAGAGGTACACAGTAACAAGCTGTCAATGCCAACAGGAATCATATATTACCAAGAGAAATTCTTAAGATATTATTTACATTCACCTAACGTGCAGTGTTCACACTACTAATTTCTTATTCTGCTCAAAAAGTGTATTTTTCCAATACAGTCCAAAGAGTTGCTTTGATCAAGTTTAGTTGCAATATTTTTTTTTAAAATCCATTGGAAACATAAAAATACAATGTATTTGGTTGGCAGAGTAGGTTTATGGAGAACAGAGTGCTTCCAAGGAAACAGAATCCAGGATCACCATTTCAGTGAGAAGTACAGTACAGCTGAGCATAACTTCATCTACTTTCACTTTGAGCACCACAGAGACTAATTGCATCTCATAGACACTAAGGGGTTAACATAGTGGTTCAGGAGGAAGATAAGACTTTAGGTAATGATAATGAAAATAATTAAGCTAGCTTAAAGAATTTGCGTCTAAAGTGAGACAGAATTCCCAGATTCTCAAATCATGAATGTGTTTCAGGCATGCTCCTTCTCGTTAACTTCAAACAGAAGTTCAGACCTCAGGAATGAGAGAGGTGATTAAAAAGGGAATGTGTATGTATTAAGGAGGTAACACTGTTACATGCAAACATACAAGTATTTTCTGAAGACCCATCTATTACACATACTCAAGTAGAATACATGAACTTCCCTACATTACCACTACAGTCCTTCAAGAAGAGACAAATTATATCCATTCCATATGGATATAATTATATTTAGTTTGATGCCAATCCTGAAAAACATGCAGACCTCCAAAGAGAAGGGAAGGGAAGGTACTAGAATTAGAGAGAATTACAACAGAAACTTTAGAACAACTGTTTCGTCAAATGGTTTGTTCGCCTGAATTAAAAGATAACGTTACAACCAATTGGCCAAGGAAAAGGAAAGACTGCCAGAACTTAAGGTAGAACTACAACAGAATTCAATATATAAAAATGTTACAAATACAGATCTCACTTTAAATATAAATTACTCCGTCATAGGAAGAACTTCATGATAATTGGAATGAACAAGCATATTGCCAATTTTAAAGAATGAAAAACTGGTCAAATAAGGAAGTTAAAATACTAAAAAGCATACCAGAAGAGGCTTCCAGTCTTTCTAATCTGCTGATCAACCAATCAAGAGATCCAGAAAATTGAGCACAGTTTTTACGATTCCCTCGAATCAGAGCCGCTATTGGAAAAAGAGAGAGAGGGGGAAAAAAAAAAAATCCATTTAAAGTCCATTTAAATTAAAAGAATCCCTGTCTTGTCTTACCAGGACGGATACAGTAAGATTCTTAATCTTTAATTACTGTTGTTCTTGATTTAAGTTTAAATAATGCAAGTGATGGTTAGATTTAAGCATAAGAAATACCCTTTAAGGTATTTGAATTATTTTGGCTTTACAATCACCTCAATAATCCCTGCAAAATGCTCTACATGAAGTAGCCAGTATTGACACCACAGAAGTCAGTTGCTACTGTAGAAACAAATTTCTGTAAAACAGTATTCTTTTAATGACAGGAAACATTGGAAGAGCAGAATGTGAAGCCAACAACATAGGTGATTAATGTAAATTATTTTCTATTGATACAATACCTTTGTTCAAGAATAATACGAACTAAAACAAGATAGATGTCCAGCAACTGTTTGTCATACTTTTGACAGGGCTGTAGGGAGGAAGTAAATGGTTTGAAACTGTTTCACCCTCATGCTTTGAGCTGAAGATTGAAGTAGACTGAATGCATGCACTGACTTGGTGGGTACAACTGACTAGAAATCTCACTGAACACTGTAGGCACCCACAAGCCTGCCCTGTCCTGGAATGCTTGTGTTTGCATGTACGTGCATACACATGAGCTCTCAGAGAAGAATCTGTTCTACTCCAAAAAAAGAGTGAGGCACTAACGTTTCTGTCTGGTGTGTGGAACAGTGCAAATTGCTTTTCTTAAGATTGTTTTCCAATTTTGCCAACAAAATATTTCAACCTGAAATTTCTATGGTTATTTTCAGCAGCAGAGACTGTTGGTCCTGCTAAGAAGCAATGGCCTCTTAAAATCTATGTTTTATTGCTGCAGAAATTCCCTATGTTATACTGCAACTATGTTTTTATGCTGTTTCATTTATAAAAGGTTAAACTTACAGACTTGTGACATAAACATGATATGAAACTGTATCTGCAGAGGGGAAAAGCAATCTTGGAGTTAGCTGCAAACAAGTTGCTGCACTGACAGTTTTGTATCATGAGGAAAGAAACCAAAATCCAATTGCTTCATAGTCAAAACCAAACCAAAACAACAACAAAAAAACCTAAACCAAACAACCAAACAAAAAAAAAAAAAACCAACCAAAAAAACCAAACCAAAAACCAACCCCTAACAAGCAAAACAAACAAACAAAAACATTCTCTTGCTGTATTATATGATATCAAATCTATACCCTGAAATCTTACATAGTTAATTAATCATAGGTATTTGAAAATACTTGGGAATCATAAGAGGAGGAGCACCTTGTTAAGACACCAATTAGAACTAAGGAACACCTGTTTCTGTAAGTGACTTTTTTTATTGATTATAGGCAAACCGTATAATCTCACCGTGTTTCAGGTACGAACATAAAATGAAGGCAGTAATAGTTCACTGCTTAACATGACATCAATAAATTTAACTTCATTAACAGTAATAAGAGACAGATGGTTTCATAAATGCAGCTAAGCAGAAGTTTGTGAAAGGTTAGTATTCAGTGGTTAAAGCTGTGCATTAAATGATGCACACAGACACTTAACAAAAAATAATATTCAACAGTTGCTTCTTTTATTGCCCACTACTCTGAACAAGACTAGCATCCAATTTTAAAGAAATAAAAAACAAAAACAGGATGTGGTCAGTCAGATATTAAAATCAGATCATTACATATACTCCTGCGCATCTTTGGTGATACAAAAGGATCAAATATAAGTTCAGAGTGATTGTATGTATTTGTAATAGAGGAAGGACAGATGCCTTAGTAGATATATGGCAATCATTTTAAATGGAAAGAAGGTAGATTTAGATCGGATATAAGGAAGGAATTTTTTATGATGAGGTGGTTGGACTACATGATCTTCAAAGGTCTCTTGTGACGCAAACCATTCTATGATTCTACAATTTTTATATGTGATAGTATCCAGTCTCAACTGAAAGTCTGTAAATGCCTCCATTCTCATCACAGTGAAATACATCACAAGGTCAATGATATGACAAAAGCCATGAATTGTGGCATCACAGTTTACTTTTATTTATGTGTAGAATCAAAAACAAAGTACTGTTTGCTGAAGCAAGACTGAGCAAGCAATATCCATTTGTCATCCATGCAATTACTGTACAGCTCCAGCATTATTCAGAACAGAGCAACGTAGAAATTCATTACAGCCACATCAAAGCCAGGCTTCTTAAGCATTAGCTGCCAGAAGATAATGCAGTTAGGGAAGTAATATAGGGGGGTGGAGGGGCACGGAGCCTGGAAGTCAACAAAAGCTTGTGCACTGTTCTTCTCACTACAAGTCCATGGAAACAATTCTTGGTATACAGGACAAGTAGGCTCTTTCAGAAGGTATTTTCTAGCCTTGTCAACTGGAAATTTCAGACTTCTACAGAAATGATTCAGCAACCAAGCCACTACTTCCTCCAGTCTATCTGAGCTGTACTTAATGTAACAAGAGATAAAACAAACTAAACTGTTGCAAAAACGTCAACACTGCCCTACATCTATGAATAACCCAACCACAGACTTTTATACTCCATCATCTACACTCTAAAAGGTCATCAGTTGATTTCATTGAGACATTTACTCTCTGGACCTAGTCTAGATACTTTTAAATGTTTATAATTCCTGCCATAACTTCTTTAATTGATTCTTAATAACTCAACTACTTTAGTATACATGAAATAATGTATACAGTAACCTTTAAAAAAAAGCCTAAAGTAGATTCACTTTACTTGGTGGGCATATATGAGCTGAAAGATAGATTAAGATGTAAAAATTTTACCAGTGTTCCTTCTGGATGATCTTTTTATCTCAAGGTTGGAAAAGCAGACATCCCTAAAAATCACATTACATAATGTCACATTTTCAAGCATTCATTCACGCATTAAGGTGAGTAAAGAGAGAAGCAGAGGGAGGAAAAACATAACAGTAATACTGGGGTGATGAGAAGCTCACACTAAGATTTAGTATCATTTTCACTGTGAAAGCTTAGTTTAGTTTCATGCACCTTTTCCAAATTTTAACTGTTAAAGATAAAATTGCTACCCTTTCTGCCTACTAATGGTTGAGATATCCTTGAAAAAATTCAGACTAAACAATCTGGTTGTTTGCAAGTGTGAAGACAGCCAAAGCTATATGGGGTTGTTTTGTTTTGTTGAAATATAGTTAAACCAGCAAGAAATATTTTCTTCTTTTTCTATAATAGCTCATAGTCTTCTGAAGGAAGATAGACATTGGCAAAGATAAGTGAAGAATGGAGTTGTAACATGCAAACAAAGATGAGAAAGTCCTATACTGGTTTGAAAAACATAAGACCCGAGGAAAAAAACAAAAAAAAAAAGAGGGAAAGGATCTGGACACTCCACTCAAGAACCTACAATATAATTCACGTTCCCAAGTCATAAAATTTCTCCATCATAAATCCACTGGCAAAAACTCCCATCTACTTCTGAAGCAGTTCTTCATCTAGAATTACAATGTAAAGGACAACAGTGTACCATTGTTACAAATTACTCTTAGCTGAAACCAAAGCAGTCTGATGTATCTGAAGTTCCAGTCCTGCTTTTGACCCATATGCTGGCTGACTCATTTGTCACTATGCTGCAAGTTACAGAACTGGAGAGAGGTGTATAGAGTGTGTAGTTAGCTTACAATTATAAAAACCATGGAAATCAAAAACATTAAAATTACCTTATAATGTTCATAAAATCTAGCAATCCAATGTTAGGAAATGCCACTTTTGGTCACCTTTCTGACCTGTGCATATGCATCATGCTACAGTCTTCAACTACATAGAGGTGATAGATCTCAGCAACTCCTCAACCAGAATGACAGCCAGAGGAACCGCGTGGTACTCTAACAGCCTGTGGCAAGAATGGTGACAGCAGCCATTGTTCAGCTAGCTCTTTCTATGATTTCTCGGAACAAAGGAGAGGGTTTCTGGCTGTCTCAATGATATTTACTGTGTCAACTTCTATTTCCTCTGACAGAAAAGGTAGTGGGCCAGACAGAAGCACCTCATTGGTTTTATCAAGGGCTGTGCACCATATGCTGGTTATCCTTTTTTTCCCCCCAAGATTATTTTCTTCTTCAGGAGCACAAGCTGATGGACCTACTTTGACTATGGAAAAGTTTTGTAACAGTACTACATACAGAACTCCTGTCTCAGTTACCTCACTTTACTGTTGGGTAGTAAGGAGAGTTTATGTGAAGTGAGGCGTGCCATTAAAATTTCATTTTCTGTGCCTCTGAATTCGGAGGAATGCAAATTTTCAGTATGCCTTGCACACATTAAATACCGCTAAATATTCTGAAAAAACGTCAGATCCCACAGCTCTTAATTTGGGAACTAGCATTGGTAGTCTTTTTACCTAAATTTCCCCCTGTATCTGTTCCTCTGAGTGAACGGGAGATAATACCTTCTATTTGCCTTATTACAGAAGTTTCCAACAGAACACTTATTAATGGTTCTAATTATTCAGATCACTAATCATAAATGGCACAAAAAAACCTTCAAGATAATAGCTTTGTTTTCCAAACATGAATTAAAAGGCTTACAATAAATAAGGTTCAATGCCACACACCGAATAGCAAAGAGAAAATTAAGTATTATAAGTACCAGTAATAAATGAGCATTAAATAAGGAATGGGTCCTATAGAAAAACTAGTATGTGATCATGTTTCACAAAGCATACCCACAAAAGAGCCATACTATACACACTAACGTTCATCTGGGCACTTCGTAACCACTTGACTCACTTCATTTTACAAACTCAGTATTCAGTTGTGGAGATTTTAATGGAATTGATGTATGACATAACATTACTTGTATACCTTTTCAATACCAAATTTCTCAGGAATGAGATTTTATGAGTATAAATGATACATAAAGTGCTTTATGTTTTACTAGAAAGTAAGATAACAATCCTGCATGAGGACTTTGCCCAAACTCAAGCTTTTGCCAAAACACGTACAAGTTCAAAGGCAAGCAGGCCCTCACATTAGAGCTGGCGTGTAACAGAAAGAAAGCAGCATAGGCACACTTGTGCACCCTGCACAAAGGACTGCTTAATAGCAGGAACACATTACTGTCCTCAGTCACTTAAGGTCAATGTTAACATTATTATTTAGGCTTACTTATGGCACTGAGAAAACCTGATGACAGAGGAGGAAGGAATTGGTCTCTTAGGCAGTACAGTTTCCTTTTGTAGACAACAACTCGGCAGAAGTGAATATGCAGGCAGCTATAATAGTGGATTAATAACCCTATATAATGAGTCATAGTAGAACATAAATAACAAACGCAATTCAAATTGGTAAGCAAACAAATCAGGCAATTAAATGCTACTACCTAAATAGAAATTTGACGAGGACACTAACACTTAGATACTTACAGAAGGTATTATGAGATTTTCAGTGACTGCAGGTGGACAAGACCTTCATGAAGTGCTGCATCTAAAAGAGTGTACCTTTCCATGTTACACTGTATCCTCGTATAATGCTGAAGTCACTGGTCATTAGTGACTAATAAAAGAGGTCTTGGTTATAGAAACTTTGGATTTATGTTGCAGTTCTGCAGCCAGACGTGTGAAAAATCAGCGACTTCTACAAAACTGACTGCAATGTCATGGCTCCTTAACACAGGAATGACATATTCACATATATTTTTTTCACATTTTTGGGCAGTATACAAGATACATCAGCAATACGATGATATGAAAAAGCAATCATTCATTTAATTGAAATCAGAAACATGTTATTTATCATAATAACTATTATTAGAAAAATCTCATTATTTGAGTGTTTTTAGTGTATTTTATTCTCAACCACATGCAAGGACCTGGAAATGCAAAAATCTTGTTTAATTTGCATCCTAAATTTCTACACAGTAGAAAATCTTCTATACTAAAACAGGTACGTGGGGTTTTTTCATGGGTACTACTTTGAGCTAAAACAATCCAAGTAACGCATAATATGTCTTACCTAGTAATTCATACAAAGAATTCAGAATAGATTTCCATGCTTCTCCAGCTTCCTTTCCAGCTACATCTGCAAAATGAGCTGCACTGCTGTATACATTCAAGCGATCAATACATTCAAGAACAAGGTTGATCATACCCTAAAAAATGGAAAGGCTCAGATTGTCAGAGAAGAAAAAAAAAGCATTGTTTAGGTGCAAGCACATAAGATTTTCAGAAATCTAAGAAAAACAAAACATGAAAGGCAGGATATGCAAAACACAAGAATATATACATGGAGTCAGACAAGTGGAGCCAAACAAACAATCCCTATGGAAAAGTTTTCCTTGACTGTGATAACAAAAATTTACCATTCAGGATGGTCAAAATAAGACAAAAAAATAAACAGCATGCCAGACATAATTTTAGGCAAGTTTCTCTTCTAGAAGGCATTTAGATATCTGACTAATTATAGGCAACTATCACTACCAGAGAAATAACAGACAATATTAAACAAAATACTTAAAGCACACTTATTAAACCAAAACATCCTTCTGCATCAAGAAATTAAGCTATAACAGAAGAAGCTAATTCACACATAAGGAGTAAATTATGGTTAGAATTCAGGGCACAAGGTCACATTAATACCTAATTTTTTAAAAAAAAGGAAAAAGAAGCAAGGCCTTAAATGTATTTCTTTAAATATACAAGAAAATCAACAGATCTAAAGAGATTATAAATGTAGCAAGACTCTTACAGGACAAAAAAAACCACTGCAAACATACTCCAGATTAGACATTAACACTACAGACACTGCGAGAGAATACTTGCAGACAACGTGATGGAAAACCAGGAGTAAAACTGAGAGAAGTACCTCTTCCTGGAAGAGGTTCTGGCGATTCTTCAGTGCTCGGAGCCTGTTTTGTTTGTCTTCATGCTCCAAATGTTCATCAGGGGGGTGAAAGTAGCCAATCAAGTCCTGAAGGCTCAGACTGACTGACTCGATAGGCAAATCGACTATGGAAGACTTTGCTTTCTTGCTGAGAGCATCAAGGCCCCTACAATAAGATGCAAAGTCTCCTGAGTATGGGAAATCAATTTATTTTATCCTTTAAACCACTTATTGGTTTAAAAGTGAAGTTTGTTTAGATGTCAAAGCTCAATTCATTTTCTGGCAGCTAGGTAACTTCTCAACAATGATTTATGTCTGTCCCATTCTCCACTTAATGATCCACCCCTCCCTTCCCAAACAGAAACAGGAAGCATCAAAAATGTTGCTTCCCTTAAATACTTTTGAAACCCAGAAAACACATTTTAATACTCTACCTACACATTTAGCAGTATCAGAGACAGACCAAAAGACGAAAAGATGATATTGTAAACCTGTTCTAAGCATCACGAGGCTGGAATGGACAGAAGTCAAATGATCAATCTTACAGTGCTGAAGAGGGCCCAGCTAGTCCATACAGGCTCTCAAGCATGATTCTAACCTGTTCTTAAGCCATCTTCCTTATGCAGCTCTTCCATACACTTTGTCCCCGCACTTCATTAGCCTTTTTGTTTCCCTGATACACAATACAAGCTTGGCCCTGCTGAAGTCCATGACCATCGTCTCCTAGAAGTGGGGGGCAGACCGTTCTCATCCATGCTGCACCTGCCCCTTGCTTAGTTGAATCCTCAACAAACCTCATAATCCAATTTTTCCCCAGCGCTGTGCTTTCTGGACCCCTGATATACCTTTCTCCTCCATTTAAACCTCATCTTTCTTGAAAGATGGCTGTTGCAGCTGAGACCTCACCAGCACCACGCAGCAAGAGGAAGGCAAGGGCCTTCCCTTGCACCTCCCTGGCTCCCCTCAGGAAGGCAGTGGTGGGCAGGGGCTGGGCAGGGGGGCTGCCCCAGTCGGGGGTTGCAGGACACCCACCAGAACCTCCTGGAAGGAGCAGAAGGAGTCATGAGGGGCAGAGAAACCAGGGGTGCTGAGGGCCTGCAAACACAGCGCCCATCCTCAGAGAAGAAGGAAAGATCTGGAGGATCCCGAAACTCTGCGGGAGCCAGCCAGGGCCCTGAAGCGCTGGGAGAGGAGCAGCCCTGAAGGGAAGGGCCCACCCTGTGGCACGCAGCGGGGGAGAGCCGGAGGAGGGAGCTTATTTGACACTCATGATTACTCTTTTGACTCATGCTCAATTCTGCCATTGTAAAAAGGGTTTTTTGCTAGCATATTTTTGAGTAAAACCCAGCTATGTAGCAAAGAGGTCCTTTTTGT